GAAATATAATATATGTTTTCCGACCGTGAAGTCATTAACAAGAATTATGCATTTTCTGTAGTCACTTGTGAATTGAACTAAATGAAGGTTCATCTGATTAATGAGTATCGAGGAAATTATGTTCATCTATAAATTAGACGCAGCTTCATGTTTTTCAAGACATCTTTCCTGAATATGCGTCTGTGAAGGCGTTCAGATAATGACGATATTGCACAGTATTATTCATGAGATTCTTGTCAAAAGTAAGGTCGGATAATAGATCGATTTTATTCAGCAGTGTTGGCCCTGGGGCCTATAGTACGATTAAAGTTTGATTACTTGCACGTGGTGCTAGTAACATATTAAGTTTCTATTGGTATTGAATGCATATTTCAGATAAAAGCTAAGGTATTAATTACACAACATCTATATTGTTTGATGTTAAAAGATTTGGCAATGTGTGTTCATACATTACAATTTTTGACAGACTTGGCAAATAATTAATAAATGATATTGATAGCATCTTCACGACTTGGCCATACAGTCAGGACAAATAAAGGAGTGAAAAGTGAGCGATAGGTCTTGTGGGAATTCAAAGATTCATTAAGACTGTAGCCGTCTAAGCGTAACTCTGTGTGTAATATTTATACATTTTCTTTCCACGGACAACATGCTTCTAATATTAATATTATTTTCATGGATTCATCATATTTTATCTATAGCTGTGCTATAGTTTTTCATTAAAATGTGGGGCGGAGGGGTAGCCTAATGGTTAAAGCGTTGGCTCGTCACGCCGAAGACCCGGGTTCGAATCCCCACATGGGCACAATGTGTGAAGCCCATTTCTGGTGTCCCCCGCCGTGATGTTGCTGGAATATTGCTAAAAGCGGCGTAAAACCAAACTCAGTCAGTCAGTCAGTCATTAAAATGTCTTTTCTGTTGCTGGAATTGAAGTAAGTCCCACACAGAGCTGGGATCATATGTCTTTGAAATATAAATTATGCAAACGGCTGGAACCTTCTGTTCCAATACAAAACGTTCGTAACGCTACGACATTCGCATGCCTATGATAAACTATAGAGTTGGCCTCAACCATTGACTGGATTACATTCTCTTCGTCAGCAGAGAAATTTCGACTTCTCTTTTTCCTTGGGGTGCAGGCGACATTTTGCGTTTCCATTTTTGGTAAACCGGAAGTAAACAGAAAACGGAACTATGGGATATATGGAAGCTAACCAGTGACGTTAACCACACTGTTAAACTTTGACGGCGATGTTAGCTAACGGCATGACTAACCATGTTTTGAACAACGCATATTTAACGTTCGGTTACCTAACGGCCGGTTAAGGATTTAACCGGCCGTTAGGAGTTAACCGGCGGTTAAGATAACCGAGTATTGAACAACCGGGCCCAGATAGATAGTTAGTTAACCAACTAAGTACGTTTCCACGAACACCATCATTTTCTAATTTGTGCAATAAACCTTTATGCCATGCCCTGTAAAAAGCTTTTGAAATATCACAAAACAGCATACAGTAAAGGTGGTGATTATCTAGGATTGAGCATATATTATGATAAATGTCTATGTTGAGATGTAGTAGAATGACTAGCAGTAAAACCTGACTGGAATTTACTTAAAATCTTATGTTCATGGAAATGGTCGTGCACATGCTTTACCATTATTCTTTCAAGGATTTTCCAAAGGATAGGTATTAAACTAATAGGTCTGTAATTAGTTGGGAGGGATGCATTTCCTTCTTTCAAAATAGGAGTAACATTACTCGTGTTCCACAATGTAGGAAATACAGTCACTCAGTGATATATTATACAGCAAACAAAGAGGTTCAGCTATAGATGTACAAATTCGTTTTAACACTCTCATGTTAATGCCATCAGGTCCACTAGATTTGTTTGCTGGTAAGGTCTTATCAGATACCTCCTTTTCGGTTACAATGACATTTGTTATACTGTTAACACAGCGATGGCTAACAGGTGGCAAAGTCTTGCCGCCGTCAGTAACATTTGAAACAGATACAAAATATTCATTTAATGTTTGAGCTTTATCCAAATCTGTAAAAACTGAAGGTATCCCAGAATCATCAGTGACAAGAAGGGGAATGGGTCCCGATGAAGTAGTAACCACCTGATTGAGTAGACTGAGGTGATAAATAGTTATCAAAAATAGATTAAAAGTTTCCCTTGGCTATTCTTTTCAGATTATTTACTTTATTCCTTTGCTTTTTGTATTTAAATAGCTCAGAAGTATTCAGAGATCGAAATGCATTTTGCCTTAGACGTTCTCATTTCTTTTAAGTATGTTACGAGGGGCGTTGAAAAAGTAGCCAAACTAACTACAGTAAGTAATTTACTTCCAGGGACCGTGAGAAGACGTTTAGTTAAGCGGTATTGTTTACTTATCCGAGTTTAGTTAACCAGACTCTAGTAGTGATAATTAATGAAGAAATTTGCCGGGACCAAAGAAAAGTGTTTACTTATCAGGTCTGTTTAGTTAAGCGGTCTTTACTTAGGCGGTTTCCACTGTATATTCTCGATGTCCAATGTTTGAAAAAAAGCTTCCATTTTATTATGAAGGAATCATTAGCAAAGTCATATCCAAAATTTCATGTGGGTAATGTCGTTAACGAGATATTAGTCATCACAACATTGGGGTATTATGTTTCTTGCAAATTTGCAGAAAATGGAAAACGAAAGGGGGTGGGTAGTGTCTCCAAAACAAGCCCTTTCAGTAAACATGAAGGGGGAGTCACTTGAACAAGCGATTATAGTTTAAAATTGCTTTTTTGTGCAGTTTAATATCTAAGTTTGACTTTTACCAACATACAACATGTTTTTTGCATATTTTGTTTCAATTGGTGTAGGGGGATACCTTATTATAAAATTGGATCAAAATCTATTAATACTTTCCTAATTTCGCGGCTACCAAGCTTGGCATGTGCAAAACATTTACACCTTCGCTGTGACCTTTAAATGACCTCAAGGTCACTAAATTCAAGTGGTGTCGGTAAATCTCGTCAATAAACCTTGGTACCAAATTTGAACAAAATCCATCATTTCTTACTCGAGTTCTTTCAGTAAACCGAAGGGGGAGTCATTTGAACAAGCGATTGTAGTTTCAAATTGCCTTTTGTGCAGTTTAATATCTAAGTTTGATTCTAGCCGACCTCTACCAATCTCAAACATACAAACATGTTTCTTGCTTTATTTTGTTTCCTGAAGTTTAATTTGTGATGCATTTCATTGCTAGTCAGCTAGGCTATTCCATTTGTCCGAACCACAACATACGGAGACAGATCATTTAGCAGACCGGGTGCTGTACTCTGGAATTGATTACCTGAAAATGTCAGAAAATCGGAAAATACCAACAGTTTCCGATCTTGTCGCAAAACCATCCTCTTCAAACGAGCATTCGACTAAGCGCACATGAGCAGGACTCTGGATATGTAGCGCTATACAAATGTCTAATTTGATTTGATTTGATTTGATATACCCGTTAGAAACCCACCCCCACCCCACCCCCACTTTATATTTATACATATCAAAACCTCAAAAGATATTTGCGAAAAGACATGATACAGAGGACAGTAAGAGATCTTATATCGATTATATATCAGGACGAATATCATTTTCGTCATTTAGCTAATATTTGTCAATTCTTTCTTGGGTTATCGCGCTAACAATCTTTATATTGGCAAAACCCTCAGATTTTTGCTGTGACCTTGAAAATTATCTCAAGGTCACTCCATTTCACTTGTGTCGGTGAATCTCGCCAATATACCTTGGTACCAAATTTGAACAAAATCCATCATTTCTTTCTTGAGTTATCGCCCTAACAAGCTTATTTGATGTATGAAATGCAACGAAAAACAAACACCCGTGTATTTACGAGTGATTAAAACTATTATTACAATTTACGTAAATATTTATTACATTTTACCGCAACGAAAATTATTACAATTTACGTCAATTTTTATTACAATTTGCGTATTACAATTTACGTCAATTTTTATTACAATTTACGTTTTTATTACAATTTACGTCAAGTTTATTACAATTTGCTGCAAGTATTACAATTTGCGTTTTTATTACAATTTACGTCGTAACAAGGGACTTTGAGACAGACTAACATTTAAGATACGAATGCTATCCAGATATTTATCAAACGTTCCCAAAGGAAGTTCTTTGTGTAATATTTTAAACAGTTTATCAACTGTTAAGGCGATATGCATCAGTTTGGGTTCGAATCCCAATTTCGCTCCTGTGTGTTCGTGGGTTTCACTGAGAAAGGGTAAAGGTATCAGACCTGCATCACCTCGGGTTTCTGGCGACATTAATTTTATACGTCCCGACATGAATAGCGTAGTGTTTATGACTGTGTGACAACAGACTCGCGCCTTCGGGCGTTTAGTAGTTTGTTTTGAATTGTTATTTTGAAGACAAACGCTAAAATCGATCTGCTTTATCTGTGGAAAAGCAAGGAGTATTTTAAACCTTCTCCTTTGTATGGTATTCTCCTCTAGTAACGGGATACATTACCTAACCCATTATTTGATGGCTTCATTTCAAAGTTTGTAGTACCGATATATAATTTATTGTCATTCCAAGAAAATATTGTCTCCGCACTTTCACGTGAACTGAGTGAGTGAGTGAGTAAGTATGATTTACGCCACCTTTAGCAATATTCCAGCAATATCACGGCGGGGGGACACCAGAAATGGGCTTCACACATTGTATCCATGTGGGGAATCGAAGCCTGGTCTTCGTCGTGACGAGCCAACGCTTTAACCGAACTGACTGAATAAGCCGATGTGTGAAGTATGTCCTGCGTGACACGAGCGTTACTCAGGTGTATGTTAACACGTTTAGGAACATATTGTAGCAAGCGACGTATCTCTATATGAGTGTCAGAGGTCATCGTTGATAAACAATGGTGTGTCTTGGCCTGAATGTCAAGATAATACACTGACTGATAATACTGTCTTCAAATTATGTTTAAACGCCGGTGAAGAACAGAAGAAATGATTCTTAGGTGTTGCGTGTGAAATTATTAAACATAACGGCACAAGCACACAAGCCAACAGGTCGGAGCACGTGAGAGAGTCCATCAAGTTCAGTGTGTTAGTCCACCACGGAGGTCAATGGAGCAAAGTGTATTACAGTTTTGTGGAGGATCTCAAATACTCGTGAGTTTGTCATTCCGTCATACGTTCAGGTATCCTTGTAACATGATTACATATAGTGACAAGTACTATGACCCCAGTACGCTTAGTGCTTCCTTTCACAAAGCACTAAGGTGATTGTAAGTCACTAAGGTAACCTTAGTGCAATGTTGAAGAATGGGAGTTAAGGTAAACCTCAGTAAAGGTTGCTTCGTGAAGGGAGCCCCAGGTATCCTTGTGACATGATTACAAACACAATGACAAGTACTATGACCCCAGTACGTTCAGGTATCCTTGTAACATGATCACACACAATGACATGTACTATGACCCCTTACGTTCAGGTATCCTTGTGACATGATTACATATAGTGACAAGTACTGTGACCCCAGTACGTTCAGGTATCCTTGTGACATGATTACAAACACAATGACAAGTACTATGACCCCTTACGTTCAGGTATCCTTGTAACATGATTACATATAGTGACAAGTACTATGACCCCTTACGTTCAGGTATCCTTGTAACATGATTACATATAGTGACAAGTACTGTGACCACTTACGTTCAGGTATCCTTGTAACATGATTACATATAGTGACAAGTACTATGACCCCAGTACGTTCAGGTATCCTTGTAACATGATAACATATAGTGACAAGTACTATGACCCCTTACGTTCAGGTATCCTTGTAACATGATTACATATAGTGACAAGTACTGTGACCCCAGTACGTTCAGGTATCCTTGTGACATGATTACAAACACAATGACAAGTACTATGACCCCTTACGTTCAGGTATCCTTGTAACATGATCACACACAATGACAAGTACTATGACCCCTTACGTTCAGGTATCCTTGTGACATGATTACATATAGTGACAAGTACTGTGACCCCAGTACGTTCAGGTATCCTTGTGACATGATTACACACACAATGACAAGTACTATGACCCCTTACGTTCAGGTATCCTTGTAACATGATTACATATAGTGACAAGTACTATGACCCCTTACGTTCAGGTATCCTTGTAACATGATTACATATAGTGACAAGTACTGTGACCACTTACGTTCAGGTATCCTTGTAACATGATTACATATAGTGACAAGTACTATGACCCCAGTACGTTCAGGTATCCTTGTAACATGATAACATATAGTGACAAGTACTATGACCCCTTACGTTCAGGTATCCTTGTGACATGATTACATATAGTGACAAGTACTGTGACCCCAGTACGTTCAGGTATCCTTGTGACATGATTACACACACAATGACAAGTACTATGACCCCTTACGTTCAGGTATCCTTGTAACATGATTACATATAGTGACTAGTACTAGGACCCCTTACGTTCAGGTATCCTTGTAACATGATTACATATAGTGACAAGTACTGTGAAACCCAGTACGTTCAGGTATCCTTGTGACGTGATTACAAACACAATGACAAGTACTATGACCCCTTACGTTCAGGTATCCTTGTAACATGATTACATATAGTGACAAGTACTATGACCCCTTACGTTCAGGTATCCTTGTAACATGATCACATATAGTGACAAGTACTATGACCCCTTACGTTCAGGTATCCTTGTGACATGATTACACACACAATGACAAGTACTATGACTCCAGTACGTTCAGGTATCCTTGTAACATGATCACACACAATGACAAGTACTATGACCCCAGAACGTTCAGTTATCCTTGTAACATGATTACAAACACAATGACAAGTACTGTGACCCCAGTACGTTCAGGTATCCTTGTAACATGATTACAAACACAATGACAAGTAATGTGACCCCAGTACGTTCAGGTAGCCTTGTAACATGATCACACACAATGACAAGTACTATGACCCCAGTACGTTCAGGTAGCCTTGTAACATGATTACACACAATGACAAGTACTATGACTCCAGTACGTTCAGGTATCCTTGTAACATGATCACATATAGTGACTAGTACTATGACCCCAGTACGTTCAGGTAGCCTTGTAACATGATTACACACACAATGACAAGTACTATGACTCCAGTACGTTCAGGTAGCCTTGTAACATGATTACACACAATGACAAGTACTATGACTCCAGTACGTTCAGGTATCCTTGTAACATGATCACATATAGTGACTAGTACTATGACCCCAGTACGTTCAGGTAGCCTTGTAACATGATCACACACAATGACAAGTGCTATGACTCCAGTACGTTCAGGTATCCTTGTAACATGATCACATATAGTGACTAGTACTATGACTCTAGTACGTTCAGGTATCCTTGTAACATGATTACAAACTCAATGACAAGTACTATGACTCCAGTACATTCAGGTATCCTTGTAACATGATTACAAACACAATGACAGGTACTATGAACCCAGTACGTTCAGGTAGCCTTGTAACATGATCACATATAGTGACTAGTACTATGACTCCAGTACGTTCAGGTATCCTTGTAACATGACTACAAACACAATGACAAGTACTATGACCCCAGTACGTTAAGGTATCCTTGTAACATGATCACATATAGTGACAAGTACTGTGACCCCAGTACGTTCAGGTATCCTTGTAACATGATTACATATAATGAGAAGTACTGTGACCCCTTACGTTCAGGTATCCTTGTAACATGATTACATATAGTGACAAGTACTATGACCCCAGTACGCTTAGTGCTTCCTTTCACAAAGCACTAAGGTGATTGTAAGTCACTAAGGTAACCTTAGTGTAATGTTGAAGAATGGGAGTTAAGGTTAACCTCAGTAAAGGTTGCTTCGTGAAGGGAGTCCCAGGTATCCTTGTGACATGATTACAAACACAATGACAAGTACTATGACACCTTACGTTCAGGTATCCTTGTAACATGATCACACACAATGACAAGTACTATGACCCCTTACGTTCAGGTATCCTTGTGACATGATTACATATAGTGACAAGTACTGTGACCCCAGTACGTTCAGGTATCCTTGTGACATGATTACACACACAATGACAAGTACTATGACTCCAGTACGTTCAGGTATTCTTGTAACATGATTACATATAGTGACAAGTACTATGACCCCTTACGTTCAGGTATCCTAGTAACATGATTACATATAGTGACAAGTACTGTGACCCCAGTACGTTCAGGTAGCCTTGTGACATGATTACACACACAATGACAAGTACTATGACCCCTTACGTTCAGGTATCCTTGTAACATGATTACATATAGTGACAAGTACTATGACCCCTTACGTTCAGGTATCCTTGTAACATGATTACATATAGTGACAAGTACTGTGACCCCAGTACGTTCAGGTATCCTTGTAACATGATTACATATAGTGACAAGTACTATGGCCCCAGTACGTTCAGGTATCCTTGTAACATGATTACATATAGTGACAAGTACTATGACCCCAGTACGTTCAGGTATCCTTGTAACATGATTACAAACACAATGACAAGTACTATGACCCCAGTACGTTCAGGTATCCTTGTAACATGATTACATATAGTGACTAGTATTACACAATAGGACCCCAGTACGTTCAGGTAGCCTTGTAACATGATTACATATACAATGATGACAAGTACTATGACCCCAGTACGTTCAGGTATCATTGTAACATGATTACACACACAATGACAAGTACTATGACCCCCTTGTTACGTTCAGGTATCCTTGTAACATGATCACATATAGTGACAAGTACTATGACCCCTTACGTTCAGGTATCCTTGTAACATGATTACACATATAATGACAAGTACTATGACCCCATACGTTCAGGTATCCTTGTAACATGATTACAAACACAATGACAAGCTATGACCCCAGTACGTTCAGGTAGCCTTGTAACATGATCACACACACAATGACAAGTACTATGACCCCAGTACGTTCAGGTATCCTTGTAACATGATTACAAACACAATGACAAGTACTATGACCCCAGTACGTTCAGGTATCCTTGTAACATGATCACATATAGTGACTAGTACTATGACTCCAGTACGTTCAGGTATCCTTGTAACATGATTACAAACACAATGACAAGTACTATGACCCCAGTACGTTCAGGTATCCTTGTAACATGATTACAAACACAATGACAAGTACTATGACCCCAGTACGTTCAGGTATTCTTGTAACATGATCACACACAATGACAAGTACTATGACCCCAGTACGTTCAGGTACTCTTGTAACATGATCACACACAATGACAAGTACTATGACCCCTAGTACGTTCAGGTTTCCTTGTAGCATGACCACACACACAATGACAAGTACTATGACCCCAGTACGTGAGACCTCTGTTTTCATGGTCCTACACTAATGTACAGCTATTGTTCCGAGAGGGTTACTGAAATGGTACCAAGAAAGCTATTACAATCGTATCACACTTGTAGCTAGAGCATGGATACAGATCTAACATCCGTGTACCAGAAGGGTTACAACAGTTAAGTATAATACTTGTACCGATAGGGTTGCTACAGCCTTATCAAACTTGTAGCTTGAAGTTTGATAAAAACTTCATGAACCAAGAGGGTTACTACAGTTCTGTATAATAAGTGTACCGACAGAGTTGAATCAGATTTGTCACACTTGTACCGAGTGGGGTAAGGGGGCCTCATCATATTCCTGTACCTAGAGATCTACTTAAGTTATACCACGCAAGTACCGAGAGGGTTCCTAACAGCTTTCTTGACGGTAACTATATTTCTATCGCTAAGGATTTCGTAAGCATCACAATACCCATCCATCAGCACGTCATTTTGCCTCTCTACGTCTTCCCTGTAGTAGTTTAGGCTACATAGTTTGGTTTGTTTAGAATCCAGGGATTATTTCTGATGGGTTAAGTGGAAGCAATGTGTACATTGTACTGTATAAATGCCTGGGCCAAGGTTCTATTTCAACCTATTCTTAGCAAAATGTCGCCAAGGCTACCACCTATACTACCCATAAAAAGTTTAAACTCACCTAAAGCACTCACTATATGTTATGTATATATATGTGGTTACATCAATGATTGATTAACTTGGGGGAACCAACTGCAAGGTTTATGCAGATGAATTGTACGAGGATCATGCATCAAATTGCTAAACAGCATGTGTAAATATCGTTCATGTGAACAGCTGCGTTTTGGCGTACAGTTTTGTTAAGAATTCGCCAATTTTTAATGAACTCTTGACAATAATGTTTTCAACGTTACGAATTTGTTTTACAATACTGTAGTTCATGTGTAAACAGTACTTTTAAACTGAATGGAATATTTTGCAAAATCAAGTTTAGAACAGTTGACTTAAGTAAGTTGCTACATTTACACTAGTGAGTCTAAACTTTTGATGGGGAGTATCCATACAGATTTTCCTTTTAGCTTAATGTGGATCAAGGGTTGTAGGTAGGGTAAGGTTTTGTATTCAAGGATGTGGATGTGTTTGACAGAGCTCCCCCCATGTTTCCACCACACGGTGCTGGTGTGGGTGCCGTGTTGCTCCACCTCATTTTATATAATAGCCCCCACTCCTTAACGCACCCCGACCTCCTTTCAAAAATATATTCTGTATTCCAGGACGTTGACCTGCTGTTGAACAACACGTGGCCAGAGTTCCCACCATGCTTCCATCACACAGTGCTGGTGTGGGTGCCGTGTGGCTGGCTGTGGCTGACTCTCCCTGTATTCCTGGTCCACCTCCACAGACGACAGCCCTGCCCCCAGAAGATGTCGACTCTCACCCTCACAAAAATAGTAGGCACGAACAGAAACAATCACAGATGTCTTATTATGTGTTATTATACTCAAACGCAAAGTTTATTGCGACGGAGTGGTTTGTTTTTTTGGTTGTTTTTTTAAGAAGAAGAAGAAATTTATTTCAGTATTTGAGGCCACATGGCCAAGAGTAAAAACAATATTTTGCGGATGGACAGATAAAACATTGTAATTAGGACATTTTGCAGGCAAGTTACGCTTTAGAAATATTGCAACAGACTTCAATAAATGTGCATTTGTTGTTGTTAAACTTGTTTTTGAGTACTTAACAAAGAGGTTATGTGAATATATTTTGAAAACGCCTTAAATGCTTTTAATCATGTAGCACATCACGGATTTCACCAAACAAACGAAATAAGATCGAAAACCGTAAATGTATGGAATTTCTCAGGAATTGAATCTTTCGCGGGAACACATATCATCGCAGAGCCATTTCTCCAGTAATCACCATGTTCTAAAGATCATATTGCAAGTAATCTATAAACAACTCAACTGACGGAGTGGTTGGTTGGTTGGTTTGTTGTTCCACTCAGCAATATTTCAGTTATATGACGGTGGTCCGTAAATAATCCTCCAAAATTGATTTCCTTTTTTCGAATGCAAAAACAAATACTTAGCAGTATTCAAGGCAATATCTACATATTTGGATGATAGCAACGAATTAGATTTTAGTGTATTGGGAAAACAGAGAATTGCAACAACAGATATTTACGTCTTAATTCAATGTAGGATGGAGAGATTAGTAAGAAATGATATTCATTTTCAAATACATTTAAATTACACATTTTGCATTTTCCTTGTTCCCGGGGAATGCATGAGCAACGACCTCTTTCAATTTCTAAACTATGGGAATTTAAGCTAAATCGTGATTAACAAGATCTATATTTTGATACAGTAATATGAGTTAAATATGTTTCACAAGAAATCGTTAATTTAAAATTACAATGCGGAAACATTTCAGGGCTCTCAGATACATCACTGTGCCAAACTGTGTTATTCTTTGTCAGTATTCCAACTACCATATGCCTCTCAAAGAGTTGGTGGCGGTCTGTAAAGAATCGAGTCTGGACCAGACAATCTAGGACTCAACATGAGCATCAATCAACGCAACTTGGATACGCTGACATGTGTCAACCAAATCAGCTAGCCTAACCACCCGATCCCTTTAGTCGCCTCTTACGACAAGCATGGGTTGCTGAAGTCCAATTGTAACCCTGATCTTCACGGGTATATTGTGACTGACAAAGAGCAAACAGAATCAAACTGTTTTAGAAGAAGAAAATGTAAAGACAATGTTTCTAGGTATGACTACAGTTTATAAGAACAGTGCAACTGTCATACGCAAATGAGCCACAACACACGTTCACACGGTCAGCAGCGAGTGTGTCCATCTTGTGGCTGACAGAAGCCTGGCACCACTGAGGCCACAAGGTCGAGGAAGGATTTGGACGACGTCGTAATCTTTGCTCCATTTCATCTCAGGCGCTTCCAAATCGTGGGATCATGAAGGGCAGGGTAAAACATAACACGCCCCCTTCCCCCCAAACGATACAAAACACATGTAATGTTCACGTGTGCAATTGTAGACGGTGAAGAGAACTCTTCTCCCACTCGCTCCCCATCGTCAGTGTTGGAGACGCCCACGTGAATGTTCTTGGCCCCGTTTCACAAAGCTCTCGTAGCGCTACGACTATCGGAAGTCAATGTTACAGTATAGGAGGTACGAATGCTACGAGAAAAGTTACGAGATCTTAGGCTTAAGAGAGCTTTGTGAAACGGGGCCATGGTTCTTGTGAATGCCGCCAGACAGCGTGTGGGACTTTTCCCCAGGACGCGCTGCCTAGTCAAACGCACCAACAACTTTGCGGACAGTGTGAAGACTCAATACAACGCATGGTCTTTATGAAAGCACCCTTGAAGACCTTCAGCAACCCATGTTTATCGAAAGAGGCGACTAACGGGATCGGGTGGTCAGACTCGCTGTCTTGGTAGACACATGTCATCGTATATCAGTTGTGCAGATCATGATGTTGATCACTGGATTGTCTGGTCCAGACTGGGTTATTTACAGACCGCCGCATAATAGCTTGATTATTTCTGAGTGTGGCGTTAAACAACAAACAAACAAACACTACCTTATACAGCATAGGCACATGTATGGTTGTTTGTTTCAGATTGTTAGCGCTCTTCTGGCGCTAATGGCATTTGTTGATTTCGCCATAGCGGCTTCGATCTTTAGGTCTACCTCATCCCCAGCTTCCTACCACGCCCACATCCTGAAGATGCTGTCTTTTGTAAGTACTTGTAGGTCAGGTAGTATGTATTGTTGTGATATCGATGTTACCCATTTCAATGTTGTTGAAATAGAAAGCTGTTGAATCGACAATCAATGTGGCCTCTCTGTGAGATAATGCATGGGCTCTGCGATGTTCTGGATATGTAATGCACACTATAAAGCAGGTGTAATATATACGTTGTATTGTAGGTTTATTGTGTGTTGTAATGCAAGAGCAAAGTTTTCTGTGTTGCAGGTGTGATATATATGTTGTTTTGTAGGTTTCGTGTGTGCTGTAATGCAATAGCAATGTGTTCTGAGTTGCAGATGCTGTGCATGTACCTTACTCTACAATCACGGAGGAAGGGACTGACCAGTTCCTGTATCTTGTTCATCTTCTGGTTTCTCATTGTTTTCTGCAACATCGTCCCCTTCTACACTTACATCATTCAGTGGGTGAGTTCAACTATACTACATAGTGTCCTCAATGTGACTTGGATGTTGACAGTGTGACCTTGGCGTTTCCGGTAAGATTTAGGTGCCCTCAGTATAACCCTTGTGTTGTCAATGTGATCTTGGCGTCTCCGGTAAGATTTAGGTGCCGGTAAGATTTAGGTGTGCCCCGGTAAGATTTCGGATCAGTATAACCCTTGTGTTGTCAATGTGATCTTAGGCGTTTCCGGTAAGATTTAGGTGCCCTCAGTATGTGATGTGGGTGTTTCCATTAATATTTAGGTGCCCTCAGTATAACCCTTGTGTTGTCAATGTGATCTTGGCGTTTTCGATAAGATTTAGGTGCCCTCAGTATAATCTATGACAAATACCTTCTCTGACATCTTTTTTCATATTACAAAGTCGACCATGATATTGTGTAAATTTGGTTGACAGGCAAAGCATCCCGTTGCCAAACTGATGCTGTTCTTCACCAGTTTTGCTATCCTCTTCTGCCAGTTTGTTCTTCACCTGTTCGCCGACAGGCTCCCTGTTCGCAAGAAGAAAGGAAAAAGGGTAAGGACTGTCACAAATGCCCAGAGTGGTTGATCTAGTTTCAATTGAGGATACAGTGAGTGAGTATGGTTTTACGCCGTTTTTAGCAATATTTCACCAATTTCACTGCGGGGGACACCAGAAATGGGCTTCACGTATTGTGCCCATGTGGGGAATCGAACCCGGGTCTTCGGCGTGACGAGCGGACGCTTTAACCACTAGGCTACCCCACCGCCCCTGAGGATTCAGGAAGAGGGTAGTAGGAGCATCATCTGTCGGAAATGCCCTTCGTGTCCGGATTCATCTAGAGGCTCCCCAACACTTGAATTTTGGCGGAAAGGTCAGATCTGTCCCAAGTGTCAACTATAAGTGATTTATACAAGAGACCATTAATCAAGCACCACTCACTTATGTGATAAGTACCCAAACTCTATGCGTTGTTGTGTACGCTTTGCAGGGCACGCCAAACCCGTTGACGTTGCTTGCTGCAAATATGTTCTCTGCTATTCGGAGTGCATTGGATCAGGCAGTATATAGCTGACAAAGACCACATGGCATCTATTGCAGTGGTACGATATTTGGACATGTCATGTATGTAATGTTGAGCAGTCACATTTCCGTAAATAATTGCCAATTAGGCCCTCTGCTGCCAACAACTTCCTCCCCACACCATACGATACGACTTCCTGATTGGGACATCCCCTTCGGCCTATATGCGCCATAAACACGACTAGGGCACGCTGCCATGTACTTAACTCCGAACAGGCGTCGTGAATACGACCTTCTGTCAGTCACGTCCTAGCCAGCGACTTACAATTCGGGCACATCTCAATATGTAACGACAATATGTGACGGTTGTAAGCCCTAATTTGGTGAGTGCAGAATTGTCTGGCCATTTTCCGTCAACTAATCACATGCCCTAAAGCATTCCTTAACGATGACGTCACTGTCAGGAATCAGCTCCAGAGATGCAGAGTACGGAACGGTTTTCATTGGACGTGGTTACTCTGGGGCTGCTTAGTTCTGGCCTGTATGGCGCCTTTCCGAACAGATGAGCTCTAGCAACACGGGAGAACCAAAGATTCTAGCAATGTGGGCATGGATGGCTCCCATCTTGGTGAACGGCTATCAGTCGTAGCATTTCAGTTGTGTGTTTTTGTCAGTTGGATTGTCTCACATGCTGTCCGTATCATTTACATACCCTATTTACACGTGTACTCTGGCCGTCCAATGGGGCACATGTTTCCCTTATTTTCTCGAAGTTTCTACTAACAACGTTTCTTGGTCCTGTAACCATACAGAACATTGTAGCTTTCGTACGACGTGTTTTGTATTTGGCCATTTCATGTGAGCGGCAAGGTTAACGTAGAACCAGTGTTGAACACTATTTGTTCTTTAAGGTTTTAAAGCTGGCCAGGCAGTGTGTTACTGGACGCTGCTTTTATGTTCCAGGAACCTTGTCCAGAGACAACAGCAGCCTTCCTCAGCAAGATCACCTTTCACTGGATAACAGGGTAGAGTATCACACAGTCTCACACTTTACACCAGATTACAGGTTAGAGTATCACACAGTCTCACACTTTGCACTTGATAAGTGGGTAGTGTGTCAGAAATTCTCACACTTTACACCGGATCACAGGTTAGAGTATCACACAGTCTCACACTTTACACTTGATAAGTGGGTAGAGTATCACACAGTCTCACACTCTTACACCGGATAACAGGGTAGAGTATCACACAGTCTCACACCTTACACAGGATAACTGGGTAGAGTATCACACAGTCTCACACTTTACACACTGGATAACAGGGTAGATATCACACCGTCTCACACCTACAGTATCACAGAGTCTCACACTTTACACCGGATAACACAGGGTAGAGTATCACACCGTCTCACACCTTACACCACCAGATAACTGAGGGTAGAGTATCACAGTATCACACTGTCTCACACCTTACACAGGATAACTGGGTAGAGTATCACACAGTCTCACACCTTACACACACTCACACCTCACAGGATAAGTGGGTAGAGTATCACACAGTCTCACACCAGGGTAGAGTATCACACAGTCTCACACTTTACACTCACACCTTACAGATAACTGGGTAGAGTATCACACAGTCTCACACTTTAGTATCACACACACGGATAACTGGGTAGAGTATCACACAGTCTCACACTTTACACAGGATAAATGGGTAGAGTATCACACTGTCTCACACCTTACACCAGATAACTGGGTAGAGTATCACACAGTCTCACACCTTACACAGGATAAATGGGTAGAGTATCACACAGTCTCACACCTCACACAGGATAAATGGGTAGAGTATCACACTGTCTCACACGTTACACCGGATAACTGGGTAAGGTATCACACAGTCTCACACCTTACACCAGATAACTGGGTAGAGTATCACACAGTCTCACACGTTACACCGAATAACTGGGTAGAGTATCACACAGTCTCAAGCCTTACACAGGATAAGTGGGTAGGGTATCACATAGTCTCACACCTTACACAAGATAACTGGGTAGAGTATCACACAGTCTTACACCTTACACAGGACAAATGGGTAGAGTATCACACAGTCTCACACCTTACACAGAATAACTGGGTAGAGTATCACACAGTCTCACACCTTACACAGGACAAATGGGTAGAGTATCACACAGTCTCACACCTTACACAGGATAACTGGGTAGAGTATCACACAGTCTCACACCTTACACAGGATAAGTGGGTAGAGTATCACACCGTCTCACACTTTACACCAGATAACTGAGTAGAGTATCCACCATGCTCACACTTTACACCGAATAAATGGGTACAGTATCACACTGTCTCACACCTTACACCAAATAACTGGGTAGGGTATCACACAGTCTCACACCTTACACCAGATAACTGGGTAGAGTATCACAAAGTCTCACACCTTACACCAGATAAATGGGTAGGGTATCACACAGTCTCACACCTTACACAGGACAAATGGGTAGAGTATCACACAGTCTCACACCTTACACAGGATAAGTGGGTAGAGTATCACACAGTCTCACACCATACACAGGATAAGTGGGTAGAGTATCACACAGTCTCACACCTTACACAGTAAAAATGGGTAGAGTATCACACTGTCTAACACGTTACACCGGATAACTTGGTAAGGTATCACACAGTCTCAAGCCTTACACCAGATAACTGGGTAGAGTATCACACAGTCTCACACCTTACACAGGATAAGTGGGTAGGGTATCACACAGTCTCACACCTTACACAGGACAAATGGGTAGAGTATCACACAGTCTCACACATTACACAGAATAACTGGGTAGAGTATCACACAGTCTCACACCTTACACAGGATAAGTGGGTAGAGTATCACACAGTCTCACACTTTACACCAGATAACTGCTTAGAGTATCACACTTTACACCAGATAACTGAGTAGAGTATCCACCATGCTCACACTTTACACCGAATAAATGGGTACAGTATCACACTGTCTCACACCTTCCACCAGATTACTGGGTAGAGTATCACACAGTCTCACACCTTACACAGGATAAATGGGTAGAGTATAACACAGTCTCACACGTTACACCAAATAACTGGGTAGGGTATCACACAGTCTCAGGCCTTACACCAGATAACTGGGTAGAGTATCACAAAGTCTCACACCTTACACAGGATAAGTGGGTAGAGTATCACACAGTCTCACACATTACACAGGATAACTGGGTAGAGTATCACACAGTCTCACACCTTACACGGGATAACTGGGTAGAGTATCACACAGCCATACACCTTACACCAGAAAACTGGGTAGAGTATCACACAGTCTCACACTTTACACCAGATAAACGGGTAGAGTATGACACAGTCTCACACTTTACACCAGAAAAATGGGTAGAGTATCACACAGTCTCACACTTTACAACAGATAACTGGGTAGAGTATCACACAGTCTGACACACCTTATACAGGATAACTGGGTAGAGTATCACACAGTCTCACACCTTACACCAGATAACTGGATAGAGTATCACACAGTGTCACACCTTACACCAGATAAGTAGGTAGAGTGTCACACAGTCTCACACGTTACACCGAATAACTGGGTAGAGTATCACACAGTCTCACACTTTACACCAGATAAATGGGTCGAGTATCACACAGCCTCGCACATTACACAGGATAAGTGGGTAGAGTATCACACAGTCTTACACCTTACACAGCATAACTGGGTAGAGTATCACACAGTCTCACACCTTACACAGGATAAGTAGGTAGAGTATTACACAGCCTCGCACCTTACACAGGATAACTGGGTAGAGTATCACACAGTCTCACACCTTACACAGGATAACTGGGTAGAGTATCACACCGTCTCACACTTTACACCAGATAACTGGTTAGAGTATCACACTTTACACCAGATAACTGAGTAGAGTATCCACCATGCTCACACTTTACACCGAATAAATGGGTACAGTATCACACAGTCTCACACCTTACACAGGATAAATGGGTAGAGTATAACAAAGTCTCACACGTTACACCAAATAACTGGGTAGGGTATCACACAGTCTCAAGCCTTACACCAGATAACTGGGTAGAGTATCACAAAGTCTCACACCTTACACAGGATAAGTGGGAAGAGTATCACAAAGCCTCACACCTTACACCAGATTACTGGGTAGAGTATCACACAGTCTCACACCTTACACAGGATAACTGTGTAGAGTATCACAAAGCCTCACACCTTACACCAGATAGCTGGGTAGAGTATCACACAGTCTCACACTTTACACCAGATAACTGGGTAGAGTATCACACAGCCTCACACCTTACACAGGATAAGTGGGTAGAGTATCACACAGTCTCACACCTTACACAGGATAAGTGGGTAGAATATCACACAGTCTCACACCTTACACGGGATAACTGGGTAGAGTATCACACAGCCAGACACCTTATACGGGATAACTGGGTAGAGTATCACACAGTCTCATACTTTACACCAGATAAATGGGTAGAGTATGACACAGTCTCACACTTTACACCAGAAAAATGGGTAGAGTATCACACAGTCTCACACTTTACAACAGATTACTGGGTAGAGTATCACACAGTCTGACACACCTTATACAGGATAACTGGGTAAGGTATCACACAGTCTCACACCTTACACCAGATAACTGGATAGAGTGTCACACAGTCTCACACCTTACACCAGATAAGTGGGTAGAGTGTCATACAGTCTCACACTTTACACTGCATAACTGGGTAGAGTATCACACAGCCTCACACCTTACACCAGGTAACTGGGTAGAGTATCACACAGCCTCATACATTAGACCAGACAACTGGGTAGAGTATCACACAGCCTCGCACCTTACACAGGATAAGTGGGTAGAGTATCACACAGTCTCACACATTACACAGCACAACTGGGTAGAGTATCACACAGTCTCACACCTTACACGGGATAACTGGGTAGAGTATCACACAGTCTCACACCTTACACCAGATAACTGGGTAGAGTATCACACAGTCTCACACTTTACAACAGATAAATGGGTAGAGTATCACACAACCTCACACCTTACACAGGATAAGTGGGTAGAGTATCATACAGTCTCACACCTTACACAGGATAACTGGGTAGAGTATCACACAGTCTCACACCTTACACGGGATAACTGGGTAGAGTATCACACAGTCTCACACTTTACACCAGATAAATGGGTCGCGTATCACACAGCCTCGCACCTTACACAGGATAAGTGGGTAGAGTATCACACAGTCTTACACCTTACACAGCATAACTGGGTAGAGTATCACACAGTCTCACACCTTACACAGGATAAGTAGGTAGAGTATTACACAGCCTCGCACCTTGCACAGGATAAGTGGGTAGAGTATCACACAGTCTCACACCTTACACAGGATAACTGGGTAGAGTATCCCACAGTCTCACACTTTACACCAGATAACTGGGTAGAGTATCACACAGCCTCACACCTTACACAGGTTAAGTGGGTAGAGTATCACACAGTCTCACACCTTACACCAGGTAACTGGGTAGAGTATCACACAGTCTCACACCTTACACGGGATAACTGGGTAGAGTATCACACAGCCTAACACCTTACACCAGATAACTGGGCAGTGTATGACACAGTCTCACACTTTACACAACACCAGAAAAATGGGTAGAGTATCACACAGTCTCACACTTTACAACAGATTACTGGGTAGAGTATCACACAGTCTGACACACCTTATACAGGATAAGTGGGTAAGGTATCACACAGTCTCACACTTTACACCAGATAACTGGATAGAGTATCACACAGTCTCACACCTTACATCAGGTAACTTTGTAGAGTGTCACACAGTCTCACACATTAGACCAGATAACTTGGTAGAGTATCACACAGTCTCACACTTTACACCAGATAAATGGGTCGAGTATCACACAGTCTCACACCTTACACAGG